CGGAATGGAAACAGTTTCTCACCAGGATGCCCCACAGCTGGTTTTGAGTCAGTGGTCCGATCTTGAGGCATTCATTCAAGGATGGGGCTTTTTCACCCTCTCTTGCAGATGCATCATAGACAATGCACAACTTGGTACTTTCAGCTGTTTCTTGGATGACTAGTTTGTGCAGTATGTAAAATTCTCTCTCTTTAGCTTCAGTTTCCACACACTCCACAATACCTTGGGCTAGGTGATCCTGAATCACAGAATCATAGCGTTCAAGCAGCCCTGGTTGTTTTTCCAATCTCTTAGTGAGTGCATTCAGTCTCTTCAAACTTCCTGCTTCGTTGTTGAATAAAGGAGGATGGTTGCCCTTCTGTACCAACTTCGTACCACCCTTCTGGAATTCTCTTTAACTGCTCTTTAAATTCTTTATGAGCGATTCCTTGGTCTGCCACGTTCATATCTTCTAGGCCTAACACATCAAGTCTGCAGAGGTTTTTGTAATCACAAGAGGACGCCTGCGTCAAGAACATGTTGGTCAAGTCTACTTCTTTCCCAGGGGACATCTTTGTCCATCCAAAAGGAGTTAGCTCCGCTATTAGCTTCCCCGGTTTACCGATTCGTGACATGCTGTTTACTTTCACTCGCACATATTTGCTGGCTTCAAGTATTGGATGTATCAGGAGTTCTGCCTTCTCGTCGGTATCGTCCATGATGATACCTTGCAGATGAGAAAGTCTTGCAATTTTCTCTTTATACTTTCCAAGGAAAAGGAGCTGGGTACGGTTTACCTTTATAACTTCCGTCTTGAGGTGAAAACTAACATCCACATTGCTCATCTTCAGCTTGTGAAGCTCAATCACCTGGTTTGTTGACTGCATCAACAAATAGGTCGTTTTTGTAGGCATTCGAGTGGTGCGGAGGAAGCATAGGAACTACCAGCTCTAGTATCTAGCAGTGCCCGGCATTTTAGTTCCTTCGACATTCAACTGGGTAAGTGACAACGCAAATTAAAGTATCTTTAAAGTGAATTCAATAAACTTACAGTACATCACCTTTCTTAACAAGGATAATCTCTGCTCATCGCTCAAGCTACTTTTTTTTTTTTTAATAACATTTATTTGGTTACAACACTTCTAATGACAATACGTACATTTACATGGAGGAAAAATAAAAACAAGGTACAAGAGATAAAGGAAAAATACGATGTTACAGCATTTGCAACTAATTAAGCCTAAAAAAAAATTTTACAAAATTGACTACTATTTGCAAAATTGCAAAATAAAACACTATACAACAAAAACATAAGGAGTCTGTGCTACCAACTAAAAGGTGATTTGCATTTGCATTTGTTTCTGCATCACTTTTAACTTTTGGAACTTTTGGAATTATTTAATAACAGCAAGTTTATTTGTCTGAGGGGCAAAGTTTAAGAGGGCTCCATTTGTTTTTGAAGGAGGACATATTGTTATTATTAGAGGCAATCTCTTTTTCAATTTCCATGGAGTTCATAACGGTTTGTATATAAACCTGTAGCGCGGGGTTGCAGTTGTTTAACTTACATGTGTAAATATATCGTTTGGCGATAAGGAAAAGGTGATGTAGTAATAAATCAGAGATATTATCAAGTAGTCCAAGACAGATAAGAGGAGAGAAGGCAATGGATTTGTTTAAGGTGGTGTTTTGAGTTATCCATTGATAAATGTCTTTCCAGAATTTTTGAGTGTAACTGCAATACCAGAACAAGTGGGCAAGGGTTTCAGTAAATTCCCCACAGAAAGAACAGGAGTCTGCTTGTTTTAGGCCGATTTTAAAGAGGAAGTCGTTTGTTGCTATTCGTCTGTGGAGGAACATGAATTGGAACACTCGTAACTCTGTTTCTGTTGTAGAAAAGGGAGAGAAAAGGGAGAAAAGGAAAAGGGAGAAAAGAAAAGGGAGAAAAAGGGAAAAGGGAGGCGGTATGTATTCTCCCAGTTCACATTCGCATTTCCTATTATATTTTCCTTAGACAGCCATTTTTCCTGGCTTTTAAGATTGATTTTGTTAGCAAAATAATCAAAGAAAAATGTGAGCTCAATTAGAAAATCCTTTATCAACATTGAAAGCAAATTAAAGTATCTTTAAAGTGAATTCAATAAACTTGCAGTACATCACCTTTCTTAACAACGATAATCTCTGCTCATCGCTCAAGCTACTTAGAGGCTTCATATTCCATTGCTTTAGGTTGACAATGCCACGTATGGCATCTCCACTTCTGACTTCCTTCAAACCTCCTTGTTCATACAAAGTGTTCACCTCTTGGAATGCCTTCCATACCTCTTTCTCAAGTGTGCCTGAACGAAAATTTTACTGAGAGCTTTTTTCTGCAATGCACATAAAATGACTTGAATAAAAATTAGTATGATTACATTGATGATTATCGGAAGTCGAGCGCTGTGATTGGCTAGGAGCTTCGCTTTATCCTGCTATAATCACCGCGCCATGATGATAACATTGAAGGCTAGCAGTTTTCAAAATGGCAGCCAGATTTGTTGATGTTTCGGAGTCGGAAATTGATCAGTAATGTTATTATTATCTTGAATAATCATCAATGTAATTCATACTAAAACAATAAATTAGTCGCCTCAGGCGACGTGAATATCAGCAAATAGTCACCGAGACGATTCGCTGACATTCACGCCGCCTTCGGCGACTAATCGTTAATTAATACATTGTTCTATTTCCAGATACTAATGGCGGATTTAGGGAAGGGGCCCAGAGGACTCAGGTCCCATCACATTCCTACATGTAAGCTAAACTGAGACTTGCGGGGCTAAGAAATTTTTTTTAGAGTGGGCCCCCCCCTCTTATCTCACAGTCTTGATGAACAAGCCCTCCACTTAGTTCAAAGTCTGGATCGGCCACTGGTTATTCATAATGACAGCAGTAAAGTTAGATTGTTTTGACTCAGCTCAGGGAACTGTACACATTTGAATGTACTATAGCCTTTCTATTTTTGATAAATTACTACTACATTAACCATAGATGCAGTGAATTGTCTGGCAAATCATCTTCCTACAATCAACTTGGCATACCTCCTTACTTAGTATTACCGAACAGTCATCCCTTCATGATGGCCTTGGTTCTGGTAGATTACGTGAAATATTCTCCTCTCCAAACAACTGCATACGACACCTCTCAACCTGAGGATAATTTGAAATTATTACTTTAAAAGGACTATCAATCAAGCTAAAAATATCACTATGGATTGAAGTGCTCGCAGACTGAATTAAAAAAAGATCAATTGGTTATAACAACAAAGAAAAATTAAATTCATTGAAGGATAGAGCATAATACGCACACCCTTCTTTAAAATATGAACACTTCTTTGTTGTTGACAAATTTAACTAGCTAACAAGAACGACATAAGACTAAATATATTTAAGGGTAAATTGTTACAGCTTAAAGGAGGCAAAATATGAAACAGAAAAATAAAAAAAATATTATTGGGAAAAAAATCATTGATATGCAAAAAAGATTAATCAAAATGAACCAATGTCTTGCCTCCTCCCCGTACGAAACGTCATGCTGATCCCATAGAGAGATGTGATTAAGTTATGTTTCCCCGACGTCGATTATCATTCATTAATAACAACTAGGCATCTATATAAGGCACGACATTTATACCATCGAATTTTCAATTATCAAGAAAGGTGGATCAAATTTCGATTGTTTGATTTTTGAGACTTTGTTCATTAACGAATAGAATTGCCTTCAAGTCGAGCTTCCAAAGGTGAGCTGGCAAGGAGAAAAATATGCACAATGCGAGCCAAGACTGAGCGCGAAGCACAAGGTAAGAGAGCACGAGGCCAGGTACAACCACAAAGGACTATGAGAAAGGCTTATCGAGAAAATGAGACTGGCGTTAAACATTAAAAAAAAGACTCCACTCGAGCACTAAAAGTGTTTAGTTGACTCTTGCATGCTAATATTTCATTTCTGCCACTTGTAGCCTCATTATTGTTATTTTAAGCTTTTCCATTTTATTGCAATAGTGAAATTGTGGCTGAAAATGCAAAAACGTGTATTTAAAGAAGATATCTGGCGACTCTTCTCCCAGATCTACTGCGTCCAACCTCAAACCGGGTTCTGCTACTAGGCTCTTCGTCTTCCACTTCTCCAAGATTCTCCTCTTCCTGGCTCTCATCGTCACTTGCCCGTTACCCAAATTCTTGAGACGCCGTTCTTCATTCCTTCTTAAAATAAATTGTTTAGCGTCCGGATCAACAGAGACTCGGTCCATGATGCATTTTGGTGAATTCTGATCGTCAAAGTTTCCTTCATTGTAGACTAAAGGATCTTCCTCTGATTGCTCAAGCCAATTTATTTTGAGTTTTTCCTCCGAGAAACAGTCATTCCTGCTGTGAAGATCTTCACAGAGAATTGCTAGAAAAAAAGGCTCCAGATACGTCCTGTAGTTATGCTTAAACACTGATCTAAAGATCGAGGATGTGCATTTAGCGTTTTATTTGTCCCACTGCCCACAATATTTTCGCTTATTCGCTTGCTTGATATCTGCGATAGTACTCAGCGATATACTTGCTCATACTTGGTGACAATGTGGTGATGTACTCGCCTGCGTGACTTTTACATGCACCGATCAGCTCATCATATAACACAGGGTATCAGATTTACAAATAACGAATTAGCTTTACCTTGGTCTGCATTTCATGTCTGTGATGACGATTCGGCGAACGAGATCTTTTCGACTGAGATTTCCGAGATCTTCGTAAATAAAAATGTCCTTTAAGATCTGTCAAGGGCAATGTATCTGATGCATTGTTCTCTAGTACTCTATTTACTCCTTCTGACACAGTTGCGCATTGCAATAGTGAAGACCTTGTCACGGTTTTTGAAGCCATAACCGCGTGAGAAATTGCAGTGTTTGTATGAGAATCTAATGTCGAATAATTTAGCAAGCTGAATAGAGGAATTAGTACAACACTAAACTGACCGGCGTGAACATCGCCTTCGGCTCGCTCATCGCTGTGACGGTTCTCTCTGTTCTCTCGCTGGTGACCAAGAATTGTCACGTGATCTGGAAACATAAACAACAGTGGCCTTCAATTTGCACGCAGCATTTTACAACCATGAAAAAGTATGGCAAGAGTGTGGTAAAAATTCCAAAATAGTAGTTAGATTTTCATACCGTCGTTCTCGACTTGTTTTCCTTGACTTGCCCATCTTGCTCTTCTTCAAGAGTTCGACACAGCGGAAACCGCAAATGCGCGAGTAAATGCAATATGACCATGTTTTATGAGCCTGCGAGACTGAGCACCCCAGCCAAAGCCTTGTTTTCAGTAAAACCGCTGGATGTCAACTATGAAATACGAGTAAGGTGAGCTTTAAAACTGCTGATTGCGTGACGGAAACGCTAAAATATTATAAAGCCAGGTTTAAGCTTTTTCAATAGACATGAAAAGAGGTCTTTTTGCTTGCAAAACGAAGTATTCTAGTTTCTCATTAATAATGAAGTATCTGAAAAGCTCAATCCCTGATCCCTCAAAGACACACACAAAAAATGGCTGATCCTGATCCCATGACTTGTGACCCGGGATCCTTGGTCTTTGATCCCGATCCCGGGACTCTGATCCCTGATCCCATATACCTGGTTACGACCCTGCGATTCTTTGGTGCAGATTTTTTTGTTGTTGATGGGGCTGCAAGTGTTTCAGCCCTTTTCAAAGCTGCCTTTGCATCTTTCATCCTTTTTGCTTCAGGAAAAATGTGAACATAACTGTGGTCAAAAATAAGCTAATTATAAAGTTAGAAAAATGTAATTCATTATCTTAGCGAAATGTAAGCATTATAGATGAGGATAAAGTAGGGGAAGAGTCTTTATGTGGCATTGATCCTGTTTAGTTGAGAGCCAAGTTGGTGGCCAGTAGTTCAGGAAGGAGGTACATTGGAATGGTATATTTGTAGGGAGTTTTTTATAGCTAGGATTCATGTTTGTAGGTGGTGCAGGGTTCAGATCGCATTAATAAGTTAATTGTTTATTTAACATCTCACCTTGAAACAATTATATCCTTTTTGTTTAGTTGCTGAGCCCAATGAGATCTTTATGAATCTAATGTAAACGATGTCTTCGCTTCTTATCTTCCATGAATCGACTTTGCTGTTTGCCATTTTGAAAATCAATAATCGCAAGCCATATCCTCGCTGGGCAACAGAGGCACGAAGTGCCAAGTCAAAATAAAGACAAAGGAGGAAACTTGTACCAGATGACTTGGTTCGATCTGAACTGCATCACTCGGTGACAGAAGTGAATGAGGCCAGAAATGAAAAAGCGGTAGACTGTACTTTTACGAATATTAAAACATCAGCTGTGGAAAACATGTCTTTGTTTCTAAATGATAAGATATCTGACCAGATGCTTTCAAACGTGAGCCACAAAGTACCATTTATGATTTCCTGTATTCGGCAACTTGTGCAATATTCACGCATTTGCTGCAACCCACATAGATAATGAAATATTTTCTAGTTTTGGCTTGCTTCTTGGGGCACGTAGAATAATGCGTGTATCTGTGTTCCCACCAATTTCTTGTTCATCCTCAACAGATCCATCGTAGGTTTCAGTGCTTACAAAGAAAGCAGTCACCCCCCTTCTTGTCCTGTACGCCAAGAAACACCTGTGGGTTGTTGTCAACCCTCTCGAGGGGCACAGACAATGGCTGTTCTGTGGCTCTGAGCATGACAAGCAGGTCGTCTAATGAAACTCCTCCGATTTTTGTCAGTGGCTCTTCTAAACCGCCATCGCTCGCCAATGTCTTGGTAGTGACAGGCGTTGTTTCAATTGGTTTTGTGTCGCCCGCGTTAGGGATTTTTCCGAACCATTCAGTCATCTGCCAAGGCTTGTAGCACGAGTTTCTTCTGTCCAAGGGTGAGTCCAAGGTGGCAATGTCGTCCGCGTGGACTAACTTCAAGTTTTCTTGGGAATCCAGATTGCTTTTCCCTAGCTCGTCAATTGTCTTCTGCTTCAGCCAATGGTCGCTGCACCACGTTTTAGAATCAAAGCTTGTCATAATAAAAAAATTGAATTGCTATGTACGCTAACAGCGTAGAATGTCCACTGGTTCCAAAGAGAATCATACAATCATACCGAAAGTTTGCTTATATAGCATGGTTTTCGCTGTGGTATATAATTGTGATAAACAAGTCTATCGCTCACCGAACTGGCTTGCAATGAATTATTGAAGGGATGAACAAAACTTTCTTACAAGGAATACTCGATGGCTATCTAAATAACTGCCTCTTTAGCAGTAAACCAGACATCAGCATCTGCTGAATAAATGTTTGTCTTGAAGTACTCTCTGCATGCATTTCTAACTTTGGCAATTGCCCGAGCACCACAGTGACGGACCTCCCCTTTACTCTCTCTGTCATTTTTTAAGCATCGCTTCCATGACCATCTACTACCGAAGAAGGGAAACCCTCTCTAACGATTACTTTCAAAATCTGCGAATTAAGCGCCATAACAATTTCAGTTACAACATGGTAATGCTGTTCAACTAAAAGCGGCACAGGATCCGTACCAATGCTGCAAATTCTTTTTCCAGGTCATTTGAAAAAACAGGCTATGCAAATCAGCAAAGTGGCATGTAAATTCTTTCCTCTGAACGTTCTTGTTTACATCTGCTGAAACCTGCTTTCTGATCAATGTGAAGGTCCTACTCCTCTCTGCACCCATTATGAGCAAGAGATCGAGAACACACATCCACTTTGCACAAGAGCAAAGTTTATTCTAAAAGAACTCGACACGTGTTGGTACAATTCACCCTGATCTTGTTACAAAGTTCAACCAATCATAACATCCTGTTCCTAAGCTAGCTGTGCTCGTTACAAATCATATTACTCATAATAAGTGGGGCTAGAATACGGAGTAAATAGGAACTCAACTGTGAATAAACCTTAAGTTATAAATCTGCTAGTACATGATATAGTCTTTATGCCAACCTGGAATGCACTTAGCCCACGTAGAGCGACGCAGACCTGGAGACTGATTGTTGTCAGTAGTTGTCAGTTCCAACTCAGCATGAGACTCTGTACTAGGCATGTTTACATCACATTGGTCAGTTACAGAATCTGAGACATCATTTAGGTACGCGCTTAGAGTAGTAGGTGGTTCCTGAGTAAGATGAATTTGACGTCTATTTCTACGGTACTCTTTACCCGTCTCATCAGTAATCACATAAGATCTGGGAGCCTCATGTTCACCCTTAACTACAGCAGGTGCTAAGTGTTTATTACCTGGTTTCCTGAACCTTACACTATCCCTTTCCTTAAGTGGGGGTAACTGTTTGGCACTCGATCATAGAATTCCTTGTACTTAGCTAAACGCCTTTCAAGTAATAAGTGAACATCTTTACAGACTTGTGGCACTAACATTTAGGGGTGGACTGGAACCTGTGTACGAACTTGCCGGCTGAACAACATTTGGTTGGGTGAGTAAGGAAAATTACTTATTGGTGTATTGCGATACTCCATGAGACCTTCATTCAGGTTACCTCCTTTTCTTAACATGTTTTGTGACAATGTGTACTGCCTTTTTTGCAAGGCCATTTGACTGGCTATAAGTGGGACGGATTGTTGTGATTTGCATGCCACACCTATAAGCATACTGCCTCATTTCTCAGGAGTTGTAGGGCGTGTTGTCAGCCACTAGTGTTTGGGGGTATCTGTACCTGGAAAATATTTCATTAAGACCCTGAATAACATCTTGACTTGCTTTACCCTTGAGTTGGAGTGCCTCAATGTATTTTGAATAATAATCAATGACCACAAGATAGTTTTGATTTTTGTGCTCTAAAATATCTGAAGCAATTGTCTGCCAGGGTAATAAAGGGACATAGCGAGTTTGCATTGGTTCTTTGGGTTGTTTGCTCTGGTATTTCATGCACTTTTCACAACTAGAAACCGTCTCTTCAATATCTTTAGTCATGCCTGACCAAAATACTGTCATTCTTGCATTGGCTTTGCTTTTTTTAATCCCACAGTGACTCAGATGTAATTTGTAGAGAATATATTTTTTTCCATGAGGATGGCATAACAAGCCTATTATCCTTGAGTAAAATTCCATCTGTGACATGAATATCATTTCGTACATCCCAAAAGGACTTTAGAGATGGTTGTACATCACACTTATGAGCAGGCCAACCCTGTAAAGAGTATTGGTGTAACATCTGCATGGTTGGATCATTGGAATTCAAATCTCTTAGCTCCTTCAACTTAACATCTGAGATGGGGAGACTAGACACAACACTATGAATAAAATACTCCATATCTTTATGCATTTCACTGTCACTGGGCATACTGGACTCATCGCATGCCCTGTAGAGGGTATCAGCAATGTATTGAAACTTTCCTGGGATATACTTAACTTAAATGTCATACTTCTGTAAACACAGCCTCATTCTTTGTAAGTGGGGAGGAACTTTAAATAGAGGCTTTTTAACAATACTTTCGAGAGGCTTATGATCCGAATGCACTTCCACTTCAGCTCCATGAGTCTCCCACACCCAAAAACAATGCTAGTGTTGTAAACGGGAGTTGATTTCGTGGCCAACAGATAAGTGTCAACTGCTTGAGTATCTCTAGACCTGGCCGGTTTCGGGCTATCAGTATTCTAAGAGACTTGTAAACACTCAAGTCCTGATCACATTCACATTCATCGTTTATTGCTGAATCAAGGTACTTTTATACATATTGGTAGCTAAATCATACGTGGGAAAATATAGTAGGGAATGCATGTGGTTTCCTTTCTAGTAAACACCCTAATTCGATTGAAAGCTTAAAACACTATTACTCCTACATTACTTACGTAAATCCTGAGCGGCTAGGTTTGAATAATCATTCCATCCTACACAAAATCCTATCAGATCGGAAGGCACATCTAACTATCTACTTTACACGATGCACATTTTTGCACGCTTGCTTACACAATAGGGATCATATTTCCGGTTCCTATCAAGCTAGTAATTGATCTATTGTTCACTCAAGATTAACAAGTCACGATTCATTGTACAAAGTGTCACGAATTCTTTAACTTTACTACACTATCCCCCCCTTAGAAAAGGGCATGTCCCCATACCATGCAACAAAGGAAAGGAAAACTACTGGATTCTTAAGCAAAATAGAAATCACTGGCTGTACGGCCACTATAACAAATATCAGCTCTGATTGCAGCTACAGTAAGAAAATTAATCAAAGTTCATTCAAAAATTAAGAAACAAAGTCTCTTATCCAAGCAGGAGCGTGAACTTCTCTTCTTGGTCTGTCTACGACAGGGGGAGGCACTACTTCAGCTACTGGTTCTGGAGCTGGCACTTCTGCCTCTGTGGAGTCCTCTTCCTCAGCTCTTGCTAATGTCTCGTTCCCATCAGCTGCAGTACCGTCTGCATACATGAGATCAGTCTCATCCGGAACATAGCGAGAGGGAAGATAGGGTCTCCGCACTGGCAAACTGGAAGGCTGGCCAGTAGGCTGATCAGGTTGCTGGACCCTCGGTCGTGGCTCGCCACACGGCTTTAGTCGATTGAAGTGTACTACTCGCCGTTTTCTGGGGTTGTCCACTTGTTTTATCCGGTAGGTTACATCGCTGATCTTCTTTATTACCACATGTGGACCATGCCATGGCGAATGCAACTTCTTTGTCTGTCCTGACTTGATTACAGGAAGATGAAGGTACACATGATCTCCAACCTTTATCTCGTCTCCAGCGACGCGGCGATCATAGTAGTCCTTCTGTCTTCTCTGGGCAGTCTTCAGGTGTTCTCTAGCTCTCTCATGGGCTTCTTCCAGGGTGGATCTGAGGTTCCTTGCATACTCAGAGCCTGCTTCCGGCTGATTAGGTTCACGACCACACATAACGTCTAAGGGCAACCATACCTCATGTCCAAACAACAGGTAGTGGGGTGTGTACTGGGTAGAGGAATGCTGGACCGGTATGCCATCATAACCATGGGTAGGTGAACATCCCAGTCATGCTGGCGCTTGGCGACGTATTTTGCCAGCATGTCCTGTATCGTACGGTTCATGCGCTCAACCATGCCATCACTCTGTGGGTGGTATGGCGTTGTTCTCGTTTTCTCGATACTGAAGAGGTTACACATTTCCTTAAACAGCTGTGCTTCGAAGTTCTCGCCCTTGTCAGTGTGGATACGCTCAGGTGCCCTGAACCTGGAAATAACCTCGTTCACCAGCTTTTCTGCGACTGTCTTTGCCTCTTGATTCGGGATTGGGAATGCCTAGGTCCACTTTGTGAAGTAGTCTCCAACAACCAGGATGTACTTCTGACCAGATTCTGTAGTTGGTAGGGGACCCATGATGTCCAGAGCAATCCTCTCAAACGGGTAACCTGGACAGCTGCTGACAAGGGGTGCTCTTCCTGGCTGCTCTGGGGACTTCCTCCTGGAGCACTTTTTGCACTGTTGTCACCAATCTTCGATGTCATGCTGCTGACCATACCAGTAGAAGCGTTCTCTCACTCGCTCCAAGGTCTTAGTTACTCCCAGGTGGCCAGCTGAGGGTGCATCGGGAAGGGCAGAAAGGACTTCGGATACCATGGACCTGGGAAGTACTAACTGCAGCCGTGTACCATGACCATCGTCTGTTTCCCACCGGCGGTAAAGGACACCATTCTCCAACTGCAACCTTTCCACACGACTTGCATACGCAATCACTCTCTCACTCCCGTCCTGCTCTTGGGAAATAACTGCTCCGAGGCCATAGTCACTCGCATCACAGTCCACAATGAACTTTGCGTCACTTCGGGGAAGGGCCAGTAGAGGAGCTGTCACCAATTTCTCTTTCAGACTACGGAAGGCTCTGTTGCACTCTGAAGAGCACTGGAATCTCTCAATGGATTTCGATGTCAGGCAATGCAAAGGGGATGCAATCTCTGCAAAGTCCTCAATGAACCTGTGGTAGTACGAGGCCAGACCCAGGAAACTTCTTACATCGGACACATTCGAAGGGGTAGGCCACTGCTCCACCGCTCTTATCTTGTCTGGATAAGTACTCACACCATTTGCTGAGATCACATGGCCAAGAAAAGGGACTTTCTGTCGCAACAGGAAGCACTTTGAGGGTTTCAGCTTCAGCCCTGCCTGGCGGAGTCGCTCGAAAACTTCTCGTAGCCGCACCAGGTGTTCCTCAAAGTCTAGACCAAACACAATAACATCGTCCAGGTAGACCAGGCACGTCTGGCACTGCAGTCCAGCAAGAACAAATTCCATAAGCCTCTGAAACGTACTTGGCGCATTACAGAGACCAAAAGCCATTACCTGGAATTCAAAGAGGCCATGACGGGTCATGAATGCTGTCTTCTCACGGTCAGCACCCTCCATCTCGACCTGCCAATAACTGATGGCTAGATCCCACATACTGAACAGTTTCGCACCTGCTAGGGCGTCTAAGGTCTCATCTATTCGCGGAAGTGGGTAGGCGTCCTTCCTGGTCACATTATTCAGCTTGCG